TCCTGCTGATGAGCCCTCAGCTTGTAGCAGAAATTCTTATAACTATGGCCTAAATGCAGGGTTCTAAGACTTTGTCCTAAGTTCTAAGTCTTAGTCTTTTGTCCTAAGTTGTGACCCTATATCAGGGCTTTCTGATAGGGTATGTCTGCACTTGCAGCCTAATTCGAAATAGGGTGCAAATGTAGGCATTCAAAATTGCAAATCAAGCCCGGGATTTAAATATCCCACGCTTGATTTGCATCTTCCCGGCCGGGCGCCATTTTTGAAATTGACAAGCCCGGAATAACTGCCCGCGTCTACACGCAGCAGTGAAACAGATATTTGAAATAAAGCCCTATTTCGAAATACCCGTTATTCCTCCTGCAATGAGGTTTAACAGGTAGTTCGAAATAGGGCTTTATTTCAAACGCCAGTTTCACTCCCGCTTGTAGACACAGGCAGTTATTCCAGGCTTGTCAATTTTAAAAAAAAATGGCTCCTTGTCGGGAAGATGCAAATCAAGCGTGGGATATTTAAATCCCGGGCTTGATTTGCAATTTTGAATGCCTACATTTGCAGCCCTATTTCGAATTAAGCTGCAAGGGTAGACATACCCATAGATAGATAGATAGATATTCTTGGGGGTGGGAAGATTTGGGGATTGTGACAGTATTTTCACCATTAAAGAGAAAAGAAAACTTACCCAATCTGTGGTATATCCAGCACTGCAGTCAACGACCAAGTCCTGAAACCTTTACTAGCCCATCTCTCACGAGTCAATATGGGAAATGTAAGGGGTGGTTCTTTTCCCATGCTCCACCCGCTTGTGATGCCAAACCAGATTCCACTATTAATGTGATATCCCTCTTCTTACTTGCCTTTTCCGGTCATTACAGCAATAGTTACATGTTTACATTTAAATCAGAGAGACAAGATGGGTGAGGTAATACTTTTTATTGAACCAACTTCTGTTGGTGAAAGAGACAAACTTTTCAGTTCTTTTTCAGGTCTCTGCAAGTTTGCGTGCTTGTCTCTTTCACAATCAGAAGTTGGTCCAAAAGATATAACCTCACCCACCTTTCCTTTCTGATATCCTGGGAACCACACAGCTACCACAACACTACATTTAAATAGTCACAATTTGGCTTCAGAGTTAGTGCCCAAGGAAGATGAATGAGAGCAGTTCCTACCTCTCATTGCTATTGCTTTGAGCTGTCTGCACACTCATGGGGATGTCCCTGCTTTGGTTTATATCTGATTCTCATTTGGAAGGGTTACTGCACAATAAAAAGGGCTAGAAACTTGCAGTGGCCTACGACTCAGGAGGACTAGTTCTATTCTAGCCACTAACCTGCATCATGACTGTGAGTGAGTCACTCGGCTTCCCTTTTGGTGTGTCTGTTTCTCTTCCCATTATTTGTCTGTCTAGTCTACTTACACTGTCGGTGCTGCAGGACAGCAATTGTTTCTTAATAGTCTTCTGCACAGCACCTAGCACAAGGGGGCCCTGATCTCAACTGGGGCCTCCAGATGCAACCAGATGACACAAATAATAATTTGTGGAGATTATTCATATCTGTAGCATTTCCACCAATTTCCTCTCCTGCTTTGCTCATCCATTTTGCCTTGGTCCGGTTGTTTAAACAGTAGATAATATTATCACAGAGAAACTCAGGGCAAATCCTTCATAAAATATTTGTAGCTGATTAAACTGAGCAGTCTCCCTGGCTAGTGGAGCATGTTTTATAGAAAACCCAGTACATTCCTCAGCACCCATCCCCCAAACTACACTTCAGAAAAGACCCACCGTGTTTAAACTGATATCACTGTAAACATCCCAAGGCAGCAGAGGCCTTGACTAGTTGAAGAAGCCAAAGCATGTTAGACTCTTGGCATACTCAAAACTGATTGCCTCTTTTCTGTATTATTTCCCCCTCCCCAGGTCTAATCAGTCCCTCCAGCCTCATGGGCCTTACTTTTTTTTAATGGGACGATGAGCTGTGAAATGATTAGTTCTTTTGGCATCAGTGGTCTTCTTTAAACTTCTCAGCTACAACTCTAGAAGCTGGATAAGGATGGGAAAACTCCCTCTTTTGTGGGTGCTGTATTATGTCTGACTGCAGTTTACCTTAGCAGAGCAAGTTTTGCAACTGGAAAGGCTGAAAACTGCATTTTGGTAAATAAAACAGAAACTTTGTGTGTGCAGAATATTTCTGAGGGACAGGGAATCTATAAAAGGTCTGATTTGCTGAGGTGCTGAACCTCAGTTAGAACTTTAGGGCTACATCTAGACTGTTAAAAGCATTTGCGGAAAAGAGCATCTAGATTGGCACGGATGCTTTTCCGCAAAAAGTGCTTTTGCGGAAAAGCATCCGTGCCAATCTAGATGCTCTTTTCCGCAAATGCTTTTAACAGTCTAGATGTAGCCCTAAAGTTCTAACTGAGGTTCAGCACCTCAGCAAATCAGACCTTTTATAGATTCCCTGTCCCTCAGAAATATTCTGCACACACAAAGTTTCTGTTTTATTTACCAAAATGCAGTTTTCAGCCTTTCCAGTTGCAAAACTTGCTCTGCTAAGGTAAACTGCAGTCAGACATAATACAGCACCCACAAAAGAGGGAGTTTTCCCATCCTTATCCAGCTTCTAGAGTTGTAGCTGAGAAGTTTAAAGAAGACCACTGATGCCAAAAGAACTAATCATTTCACAGCTCATCGTCCCATTAAAAAAAAGTAAGGCCCATGAGGCTGGAGGGACTGATTAGACCTGGGGAGGGGGAAATAATACAGAAAAGAGGCAATCAGTTTTGAGTATGCCAAGAGTCTAACATGCTTTGGCTTCTTCAACTAGTCAAGGCCTCTGCTGCCTTGGGATGTTTACAGTGATATCAGTTTAAACACGGTGGGTCTTTTCTGAAGTGTAGTTTGGGGGATGGGTGCTGAGGAATGTACTGGGTTTTCTATAAAACATGCTCCACTAGCCAGGGAGACTGCTCAGTTTAATCAGCTACAAATATTTTATGAAACTATTTATAGTTTTTTAAGTTTTTATAGGTGTTCAGTTGCTCTTAAAATCCTACCGCTGGGATCCAATATGGTTCTCTGAAGTCGATGGGGGAATATTGCCATGTTATCTTTTGAAGATCCTAAGCATGGAATGGATGGACTTCAGTGGGCACAGGCCCTGAATACCTGGAATTGCTGGGGTTTCACACACCCTCAGTGGTCAGCTGTGCTGGGTTATATAACAAATACATCATGTTGCTACCATGGCAATTGGTGCTATATAAAAATCTACCCTAGACAGAGAACTGCAGAACAAACTATTCCGTATAACTCCTGCTCTTCAGTTTGCTAGGATGCAGCAAACCAGGTGGTAATTCATCTTACCACCATATACTCTCTTCTTTCTAGTTTTAGCTAGCAAAGAAGGCTGGTCCAAGCATAGGAGAAGCCAGCTATAGGAGACCAAGGTTCTGTTCCTTCCCCTGCCATAGACTGTTTGCATGGTCTCTTTGCTCAGTTCCCCAGCTGTAATATGGGATAACTACACTTCCCTACCACACAGGGTGTTCTGAGGATAAATACACTGATGATTGTGAGGTGCTTAGATACTACTCTATTGGGGGGCATGTTAGTAGGATGGATCGATACCCTCCCACAACAAAATTGTCAGTGGCATGCACAAGGCCTGAGCTTGTCTCTCCTGCACACTGGGGGCTACCAACTTTGACCCCTCCTAGCAAGATCAGGTCTGAAATACAGTTCTATCTCTATATTGGTGGCCCCATTCTTTCAAAAATCGTAAGTTGGGTCCCAAGGAAATCATTAGTTTATTTTTTTTTAAATAATGTACTTTAGGTGTTTTGTAGATGTTGTTTCTGAGCGTTTAGAGGTGCTCTTAACCTTAGAGGCTAGGGCTACCAACTTTGACCCCTCCTAGCAAGATCAGGTCTGAAATACAGTTCTATCTCTATATTGGTGGCCCCATTCTTTCAAAAATCGTAAGTTGGGTCCCAAGGAAATCATTAGTTTATTTTTTTTTAAATAATGTACTTTAGGTGTTTTGTAGATGTTGTTTCTGAGCGTTTAGAGGTGCTCTTAACCTTAGAGGCTAGAAAAATAGACTTAAAATAAGTAAAGCTGAGCTCCATGTGTATTCACTTGACCCCCGTAACCAGGGCCTGATGAAAAGCACAAGATATAGTGAGAGTCTGAATCGGGTCTGGGTTGTGCTTCTGCAGAAATTCAGTGGGTTCCTTACAACCACATGTTATGTAAATACCTAGGGAGTCTAAGAAGCATGAGAATAAAGAGAAATCACATGACCTTTAATTTAGCCTTCAGGAATAGGATGTGAACTGGTTTTGCAAGTTTACAACAGCCCAGCCTCCAATACAAAAGGGAAGAGAAACTGGAATGAAAAGAAATCCGCACATAACTAATCCTTATCTAAGCATGCTATTTGACAACATTCATGGTTAGGGTGTGATGCCTGGTTTTCCTTTTTCGTTTCAGAATTCTAGTGGCTGCAGCTGAAGAGAAACAAAACAAGTTTCACAGCGTTTTGCACCCAACCATCAAACGAGGCCCTGTCAGCATGAGAAAGATGCCCTGTTGTTACCTTAGCTGTGAATTTAAATTCATACAGCAAGCCCTTGTGTGAATCATGCACTGATTTTAGCATGCATATTTTGTTCAGTTTAGCTGAAGTCAAACAGGCTTAAATTAAGTCATAATGAGATACTATTAAACCACATTACTTGTGTCCACACAGTAGTTTGCATCAGTTTCGTATTTTAAAACATATTTAAGTTAAATTAGCACAACTTTACTGTGTAGGTGAGGCCTTAGAAATTGAAAGCCAGATCCTCCACTGATTCAAACTGGCCACCTGACCCTGTCATAAGAAGAGAAAGAAAATCACATGTGGTAAGCCCTCATTGGACAATCCTTCCAATGTACTCTCAGGTTGATATGTAGATATATTGGTTGTGTATGACAAGTACAATCTTCCAACAGACAGCGCCAAATAATGGGACGAGCTGGTGACTAACGTCTATGTGGACTCATGGTTAAAGCCCACAGCTATGAGTCAGGAGACCTCAGTTCTATGTTCATTTGTCACAAGCTTCTAGAACAATTTTCCTTGGGTCACTGTCGTATTATTCACAAAGTTATTAAATGTTTGACTAAGAAAATATTATGGAAAATTCACACACATGCATAGGCACTCACACAAGCCAGTATGTGTGTGTATATATATTTATATAAATATAATTCCATAAAAGTACAGTACAGAGGCAGTCCCTGGTCTCTCAGGATAATTTTGTTCATGCCCCATTCATATCCCCTCTTCTCTGGCCTCTCCAGTACCCACATCTCTCTCTCCAAGCCATACAAAATGCTGCTGCTAATGCATCTTTCTTGCTCATCAGTTAAATTATATCAACTTCCTCTTTGTCTCCCTCCACTAGTCCTGCACCCTCACCTAACGTAGGCTCTTAGCCTGTTGCCCCTTCCACTCCCAGACATCCCTTTCCACTATTTTGAAGAAGAGAGCCATTTGTCCACTTCTCCTGTTGATCTTGTTTTGCACACCGCCCTCATGCATGGAGTAGCAACAGAGAATCATAGCCATCATGTGCTGTAAAAAATGAACTGGAAAGAAAAGATACACACCCAGCCCAAGTTGTGAGGAGTTGGAATTCAAAGTTCCATATTTCATGGCTGGCTTCATTTTTGTGAAGGGTTGAACCAAAGCTCTGGTTCCAAAAGCTCCTGGAGTTTGTGAGTGTGCTGGGGGAGGTGAGATTTCAGGTGAAACACAACTTAAAATTCACTTCTGAGGGTTGCATTTCAGCTGTTGAATTGTTCTTCTTCTCCATCAGCTTTTGTGTGATGGAGAAGTTGATCTCTTCACCACCTCCCTCTCAGAGTGACCCACTATGGACTTGTACTTGCTTTTCCCCTCACACTGGTGTAAATCAGGAGTAACATAACTGAAACCAGTGAATTTGCACCAATATGTAGAACTATTGGAGCACGTTTATACAGCAGGGCTAAAGCATAGCTGAAGTGGAAATAGCTCATTTCAATTTTTGGAACTGTCTACAAAGCAGGAAGTACGAGAAAGAGCACTCTTCCTCCGACTTCCGTTTCTCCTCATAAAATGAGGATTACAGGAGTCAGATTAAGAAGTCCTGCAACTCAACATTATTTTGACATTATCTTGAAATAACTGCTTGTAATATAGACATGGAGTATGTTATTTTGTAATAACGTCTGTCAGACATATCCTTAGGGTATGTCTAAACAGCAGGGCTAAATCCAAAATAAGCTACACAACTTGTGTAGCTTAAGTCATAATTGTGTAGCTTAAGTCAAAATAGCTTATTTCACCTTTTGGTGCTGTCCACACAGCAGTAAGTCTGAGGTAGAGCACTCTTTCTCCAGCTACCCTTAACCCTCATAAAATGAGGGTTTCAGGCGTAAGAAGTCCTCTGGTTGGACATTATTTTGACATGATGTTGAAATAGCTGCTTGTGTGTAGATGCAGACTATGTTATTTCGGAATAACATTAGTTATTCCGAAATAACTCTACTGTGTAGACGTACCCTTAGTGAGCTGCTTCCATCATGGCCAGAATCTGGCACTGTTCTACTGCACTCTCGTTCCACGAGGAGTAACGGTAGTTCGGAATAGGAAGCCTAATCCGAACTACCTAGTCCGTGCCGCGTGTAGCCGCGGGCACGGAGTCCGAACTAGCGGACATTTAAAAATGGCGGCGCCCGGCAAGATGCAAATGAAGCCCAGGAAATTCAAATCCCGGGCTTCATATGCAACTTCAGTTGCCTACATTAACCACCCTGCACATCTGCTCTTCCGCAAAAATACCAGAAGAGCAGGCCCGTACCCTGGATGCGAAAACCCCTGGGCTACTCGTAATAGGGAAATCCGCGGGGGATTTAAATATCCCCCGCGGCATTTAAATAAAAATGTCCGCCGCTTTTTTCCGGCTTTTAGAAAAGCCGGAAAAGAGCGTCTACACTGGCCCCGATCCTCCGGAAAAAGCGCCCTTTTCCGGAGGATCTTATTCCTACTTTGAATAAGAATTCCTACTTATTCCTTTGAAGTAGGAATAAGATCCTCCGGAAAAGGGCGCTTTTTCCGGAGGATCGGGGCCAGTGTAGACGCTCTTTTCCGGCTTTTCTAAAAGCCGGAAAAAAGCGGCGGACATTTTTATTTAAATGCCGCGGGGGATATTTAAATCCCCCGCGCATTTCCCTACTACGATGGCTGAAATTAACATGCCCCTTCCGGAAAAGGGGCCAGTGTAGACGTAGCCCCAGTGACTACCACATAGATCAATGTATTATGGCACCATTACTGGGATTAGACACTCTGTGTCTGCTCACTTTTGTATTAATTTACTCCAGAACCTCTGACACAAACTCGGTCATCTTTTATTTCCTCTCCTTCATACTCCCCAAACTCCATCCATCTAAGAAACACGACATCAATCAAAATATCTGTTGTCTTCAGCTAGCTGAGAACCTGATGATTCAGATATATCTGCAGGAAGTGAATTGGCTCCGGTAATTAGAAGAGGGGAAGAAAAAAATCCCCACCTGCACTTATCATCCAATGCTGCACTAATTGTAATTACTAAAAGTCCCTGACCTTTCCTGGGGTAAGGAAGAAACCCAAATGGTTTTTCTTGCTAAGTCTCTGAACTGGAAGAGGATGTTGGTTTGTTTTTGTTTGTTTTTTTAGGGGAGGAGGAAGGATTGATAGCTGCATTTTCAAGATAAGTTATTAACTAGAAAAACCAGAGTGGCTTTTTCCTGGAATAAAAGATGCTAAATCAAGTCAGTTGAAGAAAATCATGAACAATGGCCAGAAAAGATTCAAAGCTGCTAACTATAAGACTCCACCACACATGAAGGGGTGTCTGCATGTTTGTATATATGAGCAACAACATTAAAAGTTTATAAGCATTCAAACGGCTAGAATTGATGGATATGAAACAATTGCTAGTGGTCACAATGCCCAGTGGCTGGTTGTGTCTTTCAGTATTGGTTGATACAGAAGGACTAGCACATTTACTTGGTGTTGCTTGGGTCCTTAACTCAATTAAGTTTGTGCACTTTCCCCTTGCTTCCTGACAGTGACAAAGGGGAACACCCCATAGTGTCCCCGTACAAATTGGGAGGGGGGGAGTTACAGCCCTCCCTGCCCTCTCTAAAGAGCACCTGCATGGTGGGAGGCTTGGGGCTGGAGCAGTCCCAGATGTAGAAGCCTTTCCCAGTCCCAGATGAGCCAGCACCTTTCACCTGGTGATTCTCTTTTCTGTATGGTTTTATGAGAATCAGTCTCATTCCAGGCACATCCCATTTTCCTGGCACAACCAAAACCTTACGTTACTTTAAGTTATAATAAGAGGAAGCTGTATACCAAATTTGGTGGTCCTAGCTCTGACCATTTAGGAGTTCTTGAACAAACAGATAGACAGACAGACAAACTCTATAAAATATATAGTAAATATATGTAGGTCACTTGACCTTAATTTAAAGGAGTACCCTTTAAATAGACAAAGGCTGATGATGGCATGAGCAGTTAAGACTAAGCCACAGAAATTCACTCCCAGACTTGAGGCCACAGAAAGGTTACTGGTATTTGCACTGGGGGTTTGGTCTGGCCTGTTGCACAGATGGTGGCAGTTGGATTGGGATATGAGATCTGAATTTCCCCCAGATTTTAGGGGGAGGCCAGATCTGTGCCCTAGCTAGTTCAGGGAAGCGGCATGATCGATGGTGTTGCCAAGAGCTTTCAAGGGAACCAGAATTTAAGGATTCAACTACCCCAGATTGTGTCCAGATACTCAGAAGAGCTCCAGACATTGGGGACTGAGTTTTTTTGAACATCTGACCAAATGTGTCACAATAAGAGCTGCTGGGTGTTGTTGAGCACTTGAAAATCTGGCCTTAAATCCTTATGTCAGAGTTTTCATTTTGATTTCATTCTTGAGGGGACAATCTGGGGAGAATTCTGTTCCCCCAAATCTTTGATCCCTTTTCGTCATCTAGCATTAAATGGTGAGACTCGAATGGCTCTAACATAAGGGACATAAGTTGCAGTTGCCTTGGGGCTCAGCAATTTAAAAGGGCCTAAGACTCTGGGTCACTACTGCTGCTACCATGGCAACAGCAGTAACCAGCACCCGGGGCCTTTTAAATCGCTACAGCCCCACTCAGTGCAGTGGGTGGCACTATGGGCAGGCTAGGGAAGGTACAGCACAATCTGGATAGTGCTGAGGCCTGGCTGCCCCTAAACCCGCCCCCTCCGCCTGATGTCTGGCCCACAGTTCTGGCCCATGATCATGATTCGTTGAGCAACCACCTCCAAAACATGCTGCAGATTCTCAGTAAAAAGTAAAATCTGGGGGCATTCTCACCCCTCCACCACCATTTGCATTCACCCCCTGAAAATAGTCTAACAAACCAATTTACTGAGAGGAATGTTTGTGGAGATAACTAATTAACCTTAGAATTCTACGGCTTGTGACATTCAGCCATTCGTTTTCCAATTAATTGTACTGATTCTCAAGTCCACTTCAGCTGCTTTGTGCCATTCTGGCATTAAGCCAATTAATCAATTAAAACACCCCCCCCCCCCCCCCCGCCACACACAAAAACATTAAGAGGATGAAAGGCATTTTTTTAAAGGCTAGCATGGCTAAACTGCAAAGTAAAAAAGACGGTTAGAGGGAAAAAGGCATCCTTTCAAATTTACAGGGATGAAGTGGGGGAGGAGGGGTGAATGGTCACAATACCCCCCCAAATGCCACGAAGTGGAGGGGCAAGGGACCAGCAGCTGGAGGGCAGAGCACAGTGTGT